ATATATATATAACAATTGCTCTAAAGATTGCATTAAAGATGATTTTTAATTAGTTGATAATGTATGTCTATTAAGCTCATAAAAAAATAAATGAAAAACACGAAAATAAACAATGTATATGAAGTTAAAATAATACGAAAGAAAATATGTGCATGAACAATGTAGCTCTAGGTGAAAGGAACGTGGATGCACATAAATCATCATCTTATAAAACAGTGGCGCCCTTCACATTGATGTTACGTGAACAAAATCCCTTTCGAAATAATTTCTTTAAAAAAATAATAATATAGAAAATAATTGATGTCAATCAATCTTACGTTGTGCAATATTGAAATATTTTGATCCCTCTTTTCTGAGTCATATTCACTCCATAAATCAAATTGTTCACACGATAGAAATAACATATTTGAAAAAAAAGGCCAAATGGGAGAAGCTTGAGAGCCTGTAAAGATACTTTTCTAAATTCAACCACAGTGCAAAATTGTCTTTTGTATGTCATTGCAAGTGAAAGACCAAAAATAAGAAGGGTAAGTGGCATAACATAATCTTTATTTAAAGATATCGTTACGAGGAAGTTTCATATATCTCTACATTGTCATCGTCATAGTTTTTTATAACATCTAAAATTAGTAATATATGCCTGTTGATGTTACCTTGTACCATCATGTGAAGAAACAATGTATCAGTTGACGTAATTTCTTCTATTATTCTTCAAGTTGTTAATTATTTTTCTTTCCTACGGTTTCTTTAAATTGTTCTTTCATATTAATGGAGAAACAATAGAATTTCAAGCAACAACGCTTTACATGAAAAAACAATTTCAACAACCAGTAGGAGATAGAAAAATAAATAAATAAATAATAATTAACATCATGAAGAACTAGAAAACTCCTTCAACTAGTGCATTGTTTCTTCAAATGGTGGCAACAATCTGGTCATGGGGAAGTGTCATTTCCACATCATCATTGTCAAAGTTTTCTATGATCTTGTAACTCGTCATCCATTGTCATTGTAATTTATAAGAAAAGAAATACTATAATGATAGACTCATATTAAATTGTTAACCACGAAACTAAGTTAAGAGATTGGGTCAAATGTTAACTTGTGTTTTACCTAATTGCATCTCTATTTTTTTTTTTTCTCTCGACACATTCAACTGGTTGTTTACAATTATCATATTATTCCGTTGGATTTTATACCAAGTCAATCTTTATCTAGATGAGTGTTATTAATAAATTTGCTAACATTATTTTTTATCACACTTTTCTATTTATTAAAATTTATATAATTAAGTCGTGTTAGTTTGAGAAAAGTTCATGAAATAATAAAAAAATGAGACACATATATATAAGATTGAAAGTCCACCATTTACCGATAGATATGTTTTAATGGAATGGGTCAATGCAGTTTCAAAATTTAAACTATATACAATGATTTCTTATAAATTACTTTATCCACTTTCCCTGAGTTCATCTTAAAAATTCAAATAGGAAGAAAATATATATTTATTTGATGTTAGTTTCCGTATTTAGCAACAATATTTTTTTAATAATGAATAAAAATAAATAAATTTAAGTGACTTTATAATCTCTTTTAATTTTTCTTTTGACAGATGACTTCTAAGATGTCATGTCCTCCGATTATCAAATGAAAGGCAAAAATTTGATGATATGTTCACTTAAAAGCATTCTATTCCCACTGTGAAAAAGAAAAAGAAAAGAAATGCATTTAAACTATTTAATTACATGAATCCAGGCATTGATTATTGAATTTAAGAATAGCGAAACTATACGTGGTCGCTTGTTTAAATCCTGTGGCAAAACTCTACCTTCACAATAGAATTCTGCTTATTAAAATTTATATAATATAAGTCTCATTAGTTTGAGAAAAATTCATGAAAAAAAAAATGAGACACATAAGATTGAAAATCCAACTTTTACCAACGAATATGTTTTAATGGAATGGGCCAAAGCAAATGGGCACCTATTGGGTTCCTTAAAAGGAGATTATAGTTATCGTATTGTACGAGGATACTCCTTCATAATAACAACAAATTTACTTAGTTGAATAAAGTCAAATATGGTGGCTTGTCTCAAGAACACGCGCCACCATAACAAATCCAATCAGGTGCTGCCACCTTTAACTTCTTAGAGCATCTATAATAAGAGTTGCTTATAAGCAACTCCCAACCACTTTAAATGGGTCCCACTGTGTCACATCACTCATAAGCAACTCATACTATATTTTTATAACTTTTGCTCCAATGGGAATTGCTTATAAGCACCTCAACTTTTTTACAACTCATATTACACTTTTTGACACCTCACATTATATTTTATGATAAATTTTTATAAAATTAATTATTATGAATAATAAATAAATATGAATAACTAATAATTAAAACAAATTTCATAATTAAAAAACTTCAATAATAAAAAAATTACATTATAAAAAAATATAAAAAATTTTAATAATAAAAAGAAATTACATAATAAAAAAATACCAAAAATTATAATAATAAAAATAAATTTATTAATAAAAAGAAATACCAAAAATTATAATAATAAAAAAAAATTACATAATAAAAAGAAATTACATAATAATAAAAAATACCAAAAATTACAACAAAATTAAATATAAAAGTTAAATACGCACTAATTTTCGTTATTATGATGTCCAAATCGTTCCCAAATATGTTCCACCAAGTCGTGTTGTAGTTGTCGGTGTTGCTGTCTATCACGAAGATTTGCCCTCCTTTGTAAGTATGTTGCAGTAAAAATAGGATGAGGACCAATAGATATATCGGTAGTTGAGACTTCGTTACCACCATTATCATAATCAAAATTAATATTGTATGTGTATCTTTCATCTTCAACTATCATGTTATGTAGTATGATGCATGCATACATGATATTCTTCAATGTATCAACACTCCAAGCACGTGCCGGTCCACGCACAATTGCAAATCGAGATTGCAATACTCCAAATGCTCGCTCTACATCTTTTCTTGCCGATTCTTGTCGTTCAGCAAATAATTTTCTCTTTTCTCCTTGTGGTATAGGGATGGTCTTCACAAATGTAGCCCACTCAGGATAAATACCATCAGCAAGATAATAACCCATATTGTATTGGGTTCTATTTACTATGTATTGTACAGTAGGAGCTTGTCCCGACAAAACGTCATTAAACACATTCGAAGTATTTAACACATTAATGTCATCTGGATAAGCATGCCAGTGTATGAAGCAGATTTTGGTTGGGGAAAGCCTGTGCATTTTGGTTTAGCACATGTATCTCAAGAGGATAGGGCAATGATTACTCGAAGCTCAGATGGAGATGGTGTTGTAGTCTCCATGCATTTCCAGACATCACAAATGCAACTTTTCAAGAAGTTCTTCTACCACTTCATGAGAGTTAGTCTTTTGTAGTCATTATTTTGTTCTTTAGCAATCATATAAATGATTACTATTTTTTTTTACTAGTAATTAAATAATGATTAGTGTATTTAAAATTACTAATACTATTATTGACATTTATATAAAATGTTGGTAAAGATTTACTAAATAGTTCTATTTAAATTTTTAGTTAAATTTTTTCTAGTTTGTTATTCGGTGACTATTGCTCTCGAAACAATAGGGGAGATCTCAGCAAAGAATTTTTCAGTTCGTGAACTAAAGAATGGATGTTACATTGGATTAACCAGCTAATCAGTAAAAGTGAAATCTGTTAATTTAATATCTCTCGCTTTATCCTGCTAATAGAATGTGCTTATTAGTAATCCTCTTAAATCTTCAATTCCTAGTGCGTCTATTCGAAAACAACTGAGACTGTCTGCTGTTCCGGCTAATTAATGTTATTACTTTGAGGCCTTGTCGACTGCTTGATTAATTAAAGGCACGGAAAAGAAGTTCCTTAGGCGCCCGAGACTGGGCATTCATATGAGACGCGTGTGTTTTCCCTCTCTTATCCCTTTACCATTATTTGTTTTCATTTCAAGATAATCGAAATAGTAATGGTGATTGTAATAATAGTAATAAAGTTACAACCTTCACTTCCATTATGATAAATTTTGAATTTAAAAAGCAAAAATTAATAAACAAATAACATTTTGAAAAATCAGATTGTATAAATTAGGTTGGTTATAAAATTATTTTGTTCATCTGTTTGTTAATTATTAAAGAATTCTTTCTTTCTTTTTGTCTAACTGGTTGTATCGACCTTAGAATTCAAAAATAATGCTATAACTGCTACTTATTTTAATATTATTATGAATGTTTGTTAAATACACTTTCAAATATATGCTTTCTTGACTTTCTTTTCCTACCAAATAATACTCTTCAATTTTTGAAAATTTATACTTTTCGAAAAAAATAATTTCAAAAAATATATTTTAAAATAAAAATACAATTCAAAAAATTAGTTTCCAGTAATAATAATAAATATATTATTTTGAATCAGTTATTTATCATAAAATCAATGAATTATGTCTTCATAAATGACATTTTTAAACCTATAAACTTATATTAAATGTATACAATATTAAAGATATAGAGCAAACAAATTAAGGTTAAAAATGATGAAGATAAAAGTAAAAAAAGAAAAATAATATTTAAATTAAGAGCAGTACAAATGACTAGTGAGTATCTTGATTGTTGAAAAAAAATTAAGAAGAAATAAAAAAAACCAAATAATAATTAGAGAGAAGTAATAGAAGAAAATGAGTCAAGAAAGAGTAGTGAACAAAGAAGATAACATTTGGAAGTAAAATTTATTTTAAAAATGAATAATTAAAAGAGTATTTAGGATTTTTTTAAAAAAATTGAGAAGAGAAATGTATTTATTAAAAGTGGCATATATATATATATATATATTGTAGCAACCTCAGTCGCGACGGGACGACAAAAAATAAATTGAAAAAAGAAGAGTCGCCACCAATGTTATTTTTTATTTTTTTTTTACGGATAAACATTGGAAAAACCATAAAGTAGAAAAATAGTCTACGAAAACCAAATTTTGAGTTCAAGAGTCGATTACGTGTGAGGAAGGTATTAGCACCTCACAACGTTCGTCTTAAGACGATTACCTTTAATTAATTAAACTAATTATTTATAATTTATAAAATATTTATCTCACAAAAATGATTAAATATATTTTATTAAACTAACTTAACCAATATATTTAAAAAAGGTTAAAATTGTGGTAGAATATAAAAAAAATTACAAATGAACAAAAAAAAAAAAATTTTTTTTGGATGCCAATAGTAAACGTGAATAGTAATTTTTTGAAATAAATTGTAAACTTGGATAATGAAATGCAAATTAACCGAACAATAGACTGCAAATGAACTACACAATGTGAAAAATAGAGTGCAAATGAACTACTGAATGTGAAAAATTTATACATAAATGTCCAACGGCTCTTTCACGTCTCTCCAACGGCTTTCAACGTCTCTCCAACGTCTCTCCAACGTCTTTTTTTTTTTATTTTTTATTTTCGTTTATTCTCGTTACTCTCTTCAATGAAACTCTACACCATTTTCTCACCTTCCCTTTAACGTCTCTTTTTCTTCTCTCTTATTCTCACCCTTCACTCTCTCTCTCTCTCTCAAAGTTTCACCATGAAAGACCCACCCTGGCATGGACGGAGCCAGGATTTCAATACTGGGGGGCCGAGAATTGGAATGATCAAATGAGGCGCTACATTTTTTTAAAAAAAAAAAAATTCCAAAGTGATACCACATAGCAGGCCGTACCAGAAGTCCAAAAGTTGAATAAAAAAATAAATTTGGGTTATTCATTTAATTATACATATGAGTTTATATTAAAAATAGGGGGTGCCATATAGTAATATATATGTATATAAAAAAAAATTAAAATTGTTGGGGGGGCCGTGGCACCCGTAGGTCCCCCCTTGGCTCCGTCCTTGCACCCTGGTGAGACGTGTGGGCGGTTGAGGAGTCCCGGGCGGAGGTCTGGTTGGGCGGAGCTGTGGACGGAGCTAAGGCTGTCTGGTCGGGCGGAGAGGCGCGCACCAGAGGAGGTTTGATTGGACGGAGCGGCCGGTGCCAGAGGAGATCTGGTCAGAAAATTTTCGCGCGACGAAGGACCCCGGAGACGCGCGTGCTGCTAACGATTTTCGCCACCACCGCCATTCGCATGGCCGACTTCGACTACCACACCACCACCGTCGTGCGCACGGCCGGCTTGCATAACCACGCCGCCCCAGACGTGCTGCCGCTGCTTAGAACATGGCCATCGGAGGGAGTCCATTGAGAGGGAGAACTAGGTGTGGAAGTTTTATCTGTTTTTTGTTTGCAAAAACAGTCACTATCATGTTCCACCTAGGATGAACAACAGCCAATCAAACCTTTTCATTTTACTTTTCAGAGTGTAAGCACTGTTGCTTCTCCAAGCAACGGTGCTAAAAATTTATGGACTTGTTTTGCCACCTAGGATAGCTCTAGTGGGGATTCTTTATAAGCAACGTTGCTTATTTTTAAGATACACCCTAAGCACCCCCCACTGGAGATGCTCTTAGAGAGTGGGACGTGAAAGGTGAAACAACGCACTTCAGAAAAGAGGAGATCGCTGTTGAACAACAAGTTCCACACTAGATTTTGAAATGCCTTGGTGGTGACCTTTAAACTCTCTTGAATATTATTCGATTTTGTAAGTTATATGCATAATCACTTCCTGAATTAACTGATTTTGTTTATGTGATTTACTAAATCAGTTATTCATCACTGATTTAATAAGTTTCACGAACAAAATTGGTATTAACATGTAGTTTTATAGTTAGTTATAATACAATCAATTTTAAAAATATTGAGATAATTTAAAAAATGTTACTATATCATCTATTAAATCGGTTCTAACATAAATGATTTCAGTAATATGATATCTATTACTGTATTTTGGTTAAATTATGTCAAGAAAGAGTTGATTAATATTATTTTGCTGGTTTGCCATATACTCCAATTTTGAAAGGGTGATCAGTGAAATTAGTTCCTCAAGTTGTATTTGGCTTTCAATTTAATTCTTGATTCTATTGAAATTCAGAAAATGTGTTCGAAATTGTAATCTTTTACTCATTTGAGTCCCTCCGTTAAATAATCTCCATTTTTTTTAAATAGAAGTACCTATGTGACATACACTACAAAAAAATGTAAATTTTTGATGAAAAATTTTCGACGGATATAAATGTCGGAAAATTTCTGACGGGAATATAAATCTGTCGAAAATTTTCGACGGAATCTTCTAACGGATTATCCGTCGAAAATTTTATTTTTAATTCTTATTTTTATTATCTAAAATTGGAATTTTTATTTTTAATTCTTATTTTTATATAATCATTTTTAACTACTTTTTATTCGAAATATTACAGTAATTGCTATTATTGTTGTTCTGATTATTATAAATATCTAGCACCTTTATAAAAAATAACTTAATCAAATAAAATCAATTAGACTAATTTTGTTAAAACAAGAAAATAAATATCATCATCTTAAATTTTTTCTAGTTTGTTATTCGGTGACTATTGCTCTCGAAACAATAGGGGAGATCTCAGCAAAGAATTTTTCAGTTCGTGAACTAAAGAATGGATGTTACATTGGATTAACCAGCTAATCAGTAAAAGTGAAATCTGTTAATTTAATATCTCTCGCTTTATCCTGCTAATAGAATGTGCTTATTAGTAATCCTCTTAAATCTTCAATTCCTAGTGCGTCTATTCGAAAACAACTGAGACTGTCTGCTGTTCCGGCTAATTAATGTTATTACTTTGAGGCCTTGTCGACTGCTTGATTAATTAAAGGCACGGAAAAGAAGTTCCTTAGGCGCCCGAGACTGGGCATTCATATGAGACGCGTGTGTTTTCCCTCTCTTATCCCTTTACCATTATTTGTTTTCATTTCAAGATAATCGAAATAGTAATGGTGATTGTAATAATAGTAATAAAGTTACAACCTTCACTTCCATTATGATAAATTTTGAATTTAAAAAGCAAAAATTAATAAACAAATAACATTTTGAAAAATCAGATTGTATAAATTAGGTTGGTTATAAAATTATTTTGTTCATCTGTTTGTTAATTATTAAAGAATTCTTTCTTTCTTTTTGTCTAA